ATACTTTGAAAAAGACAATGAAATATAATTATACGTAGTATTGCGCGCGCAATTTTTTTTCAATTATTATATTCAGTTGAACATACATTTCATCGAATTGATTATATAATTCATAAAATTTATGTTTTATACCTATACGTGATACATTGTCTTAAAAATAAATATAATGTAAATTTAATAAATAAATTTATTATATATTATTTGAAATTTAGTTCTTGTGCTTTTCAATCATCAAAATGAAATGGAAATATTGAATATATATATTCAATAATAATATAATAAAATAATATAATATAATATATATATGTATGTATGTATATATGTTCATTAAATTATAAATGAAATCATTTGAATCAATGTTAAAACCATATATATTCATTTGTCATTATTGCTAATGATAGATAGGTTCTTATCGAATATCGAAACTATGATCGACTGACAAACTTAAAAAAAAAATCACAAAAAAGAAAGATCTGAAGAGGTAGTATGCTATAAATTTCGTAATTTCAGACAAGATGCCAATTGGAAATCTGCCAAGTCTGGTATTTCGCAACACTTAAATTGGTGAAATGCAACAGATATTCCACTTGTTACATTATAGATTGCATATATAATTTTTTTTTTATTAAAATTCATATAGTGCATTGCGCATATAGGAATTGTAATTCTTTAAAATTTTTATTTATTTGATATATATTTTGATATATATATATATATTTGATATAGAAAAAAAACTAAGATAAACTATTAAACATATTTTCGCAATTGTTTTGTTATTCATATTATCATTATTTATTGCTATTCTTCATGATATGAAATGAAAATAAAAATAATCTTGTCCTTGCGTTGATAATAATAATAATAATAATAATAATAATAAATATTTGGCATATCATAATATATTTGACAGATTATGTGTTTGATACATTAACTATTATAGGTATTAAAACTTATGTAATTACTATAAGAAGTCGTATAGACTGTTATAAAATTTGTTGTGTATTATATATATATAAGTGTCGAATAAAAATCAAATCTAATTGTTTTTGTTTTTTAATAATTAACATTAATAACGAAGAGAAATTTGATCCAAATTTGATTCAAAATTAAATAATTATAATTAATTATTAAAATTAAACATTATAAATATATTGGAAATCTTTTTTTGATAATTATCTATTATCTTTTATTATTTATATCTTTTTAATTATGATTTCTATTTATGAAGTTTTTATTTTGTTTTATATGGTTTTAGTTTATATCTGTTTTCTTTTTAATTTTTGTAAAAAGTATATTAAAAGATAATAGGTACTTAATTTTAGATAAAATAAATTAAAAAAAATAAAACTAAGATAATAGGTAATTAATTTTAGATAAAAATAAACTTAAAAAAATAAAGCCAAATTATAAATAATAAAAATCAGATTTTATTCCATAGCAAATAAAAATATAAGAATAATTATCAAGATCAGATATTCATTTGATATAGATATTCAATTTATAATAAAAATAAAAATAAATATAAATAAATATAAAAGAGAATTAACAGTGTTTCAATTATATCAAATATAATAAATCAAAAATAATGAATAATGTAGAATGAGTAAAAAAATAACAAATGCTGCTAAAAAATAAATTAATCACACTAATAATTAAAAACATATAAACCGCTAATAATTGAACATTAGATTTTCATTGAAAAATACATAACGATAAAAAGATATATGAATCATAAGTTATCGTAAGCAAAGATAAAAATTATGGTTTCACATTCTATAATTAAGAATTAAAAAACATAAATTTATTCTTAACATCATAATGTTACTTATTAATTGTATATAATTCTTTCAGTATCAAAATACTCTTACAGAAATGCTATAGATTAATAATTTATATTATAAAATATTATATTTGAAAATTTATTTAGATTAATTCCATAACATTTTTATTATAACAAGACATTTATTATTAAATATAATTTTATCATTAACTTTATGATTTAGATTTCTAATTTATTTAATTTATAAAAATTCTTTACAATTTTTAAGACATTTTGTTCCATTTAAGATATTAAATTCTCCTGTATTTTTAATAAATTTTATAATAATTATTGAATTAATTAAATTAATTATTCGACTATGAACTTTATCAATTCGATTATCAGTAAATTTAATTTCTGTAAATGTAAATGTAAATGTAAATGTAATATTAATTGAAATATGTTAAAAAAATATTGTAACTGTTTATATTCTTTGAATTATATATGCAAATATAACAAATAAAAGCAAAAAATATATATATATATAAATGTGAAATTTTTATAAAAAACATAAAATTGCAAAAAATTTTTTCAATAAAATTTAAGAAACTGAATTATAATATAATAATATGAAATATAATATAATATAATAACATGTCAAACAAAAAAGAATAACGAACAAATTATCGTTATTTGCAAAAAACTAAAATGGAAAAATAAAATAAAAAATAAATACATGAGTAAAAATAAAAGAAGAAACAAATGTAGAGAATGTAAAAAAAAAAGGGATGTAAAAACAAAACGAAATAGGATGAAAGGAAAATAAGGAAAGGATTGGTTGAAAGGATAATAGAAGAAAAGAAATGTGCACAATATTAAGATTATAGAGAAATAAATGAAGAAGCAAAAGAATATATCAATTGATATACATATATTTATATAATATGTGCAGGATCGTTGGACGGTAAAGGATATTCGATATAAAAAATGGTAGAATCATGGAACGAACGAAGCAATCTATCAAGAAAGAAAATAATGCGAGCAAAAAGAGGACAAAAAAGAAAACTGCAGAAAAATAAAGAGACTATACATGTGTATGTATATATAGTTTATCCTGATAGGAGTGAGAGGGGAAGCAAAAGTCCAGAAAGAGTCATATCGAGGGGTACAGTGCAAGTATAGAGTGGGAGAATTCGGAGTGGGATACAGAGTGATAGAAATGGGTGGGAACGAGAGTAAAGGTAGGAGAAGGAAGTGGTGATGAGGAGCGTAGAGAAGAGATGAGGAGAAGAGGAAGGAAGGAGAAAGTGGGGATTGGTCATAGGGGTAACGGTAGGATTCCGGGGGTTGAAAGCAGCTGAGAGCAGTGTACGAGTAGGTCATACCAGAGGAGAGAGGTAGTTCGCGTTTAGCAAACGACTCGTTCGTTGGACAAAGCGTATAATAATCGTTGGACCGTTTCTCTACATTTTTCATTCGTATCTCTTTTTCAAGAATATCTCGTTTCTAATATCGATCTTCATTTTTTCTTATTAGTGTTATTATCATCATCATCGTCGTTACTGTTTTCGTCGTTATTATCGTCTTTGTCATTCTATATTTTTCGACGTTATCGTTGTCATTGTTATTCTCATCGTTCTGTGTTGCACTTACTCCTTGATGTGTCCTTGTTATTATTATCCTTGTCCTTATTTGCCGAGAATATAATAGAAAATCGAGGGAAATGGATATTCCCATCGAAGAGCAATGGCTGAATATATTTATCATATAATGAAGAATCGACATTGATCCGATCGATTAAATATAAAGCATATTAATTTTGATTGGTTTTCAAAATAATTCAATATTTAGAATAATTCAATTTTTTTAATTATAAACTAATGTTAGTCAACATCTTCAAAGCATTTTCTCTCAGTGATTAATCTTCAGTCATTGATCAATCTTTTTGTCTTTTCACCATTTTCCCTTACTCTTCCTCACATTGATGTCATTTTGTTAGATTCATTGGAAAGCAAACGTGTACACCACTATCCTTACATTTGATCTGATCAATCTTCGATTAAACTTGTCAAATTTGTACGAATTCTTTGATCAAATCATGATAAGATTAAAATTATTATCGGATAGAAGAAGAATAAACTAAAAAAATTTCTTTGATATTTTCTTTAATTTTTTCATTAATTTTAATCTTTTTTTTTTGAAAACCAGTGAAATATAAACATTTGATTTTACCTCGAAAAATATTTTCAAATTTAAAAATAGAGAAAAAACAAATGAAACAAAAACAAAGGAAAGAAAGTTAAAAAAAAGAAGAAAAGTGGAGGTGAAAAAACAAAGAGAAAAAAGAAGAACGAATGAAGAGAAAAATTAGAAAGAAGAAAGTGAGAAATATTTGAAAAGTTATAAAATATTTGTAAAAAAGATTAGTTTTTTTTTGTTTCTTCCAGCGAAAAATCAATTTCGTTAGGAAATATTTGTATTAAAATTATAACATTGATTGTTATTATTGTTAATTCTGTATTCAATTTATATATTTATTAATTTGATTATCGATTATTATAATTCAATAATTCTATTTATCCCGTGAATTTAATCAGATAAATGAGTCATCAGATCGGATCAATGTTAATTTTATTAATAGAACATTTAAAGAATATTAATGTGTTATCGATGAATTTAATACTTTAATGTATATCAGTTACATATTTTTTAGTTTTAATCGAATGTTCAAATAATCTTATCATAGATTATTCATTTAAAGTCTACGTTATACATTTTGATCATATTATCATTTTTTGTAGACGGAACAATTTTTCTTCGTAATATAAATTGTCGTGAAATTGATTTTCTCTTATCTTCAATCTTTCGTATAAAGGAAAAAAAGGAATTAATGGTGCTTGAAAGAGAAAAACAAAAGAATATGAAAATATAAGGAGAATAACGAATGAAATGAAAAAATAAAAGTGCCTCTAAAGAGAAGCGGATTTCAAACGTGTAAAATATTGGGCGATATTTTCGGATTAAATTTTACTTTTTTCAAAAAAGTGCAAAAAATAGCAATGGAAAAAGAATTATAAAAAGTGAAAAGAAGATGTAAAAAAAGAACAAAAAAAAATTGAAAGAAAGAGCGACAACGAAAAAAAGAAGGATAATAAAGGATAAAAGAGAAGTATTTTTATTATACAATATCTATTACAATGGTATTTATTATACAATATTTACTACATTAATATTTGTGATAAATATATTATGGAATGAAATCTGAAAGAAAAAAAAGAAGATAGAAAATTATCAAAATTAACATAAAAAAGTTTGAATCATGCGACACGATTTGACAAAAAATGTATCACAAATTCAACAAGTCGAAGTAAAAAAAACGAGAAAAATAAATAATCATTTAATTAAAAAAGAAAATTCATAATAGTATTTGTGTAATTCGCTCTTCGCTATTGAATTTATATATTTTTCTTCGAACAACTACTCCCATGGAATAGCATCATCATCGGTTAAGATATAATACTGTAATATATCGATCCTCTTCGGTATCGACAACAAGCGGAGACGCGTTTTCGTTCGTTAGAAGAATATACGAGATGAATACGTTCGTTAAAGCATCAAAAGTTTTCATTATTCGATAATCAGCTCAGAAAGTCTACAAACAAACGAATACGAAAAGTAGTTCCGTTTCTAGTTTGGTTCAGGGAACGATCGAATATGGAAATCGCAGCCTCTGCAATGTTGGATGGCCTGAAAAACAATCGAATCAGCAAGTTGGCACTGTCGCGGTTCTTGTCGCAGAGTCTGTGAGTAAATTAACTCGGCCGTTCGTCGAGCACGTAATCGATTCGACGTGGTACAAGTAACCAGGATGCTAGAAAGCATCGGCACAGTAGCGCGCACAATAATTGATTGCTTGGCTTTTTTATGCTTTTATTGCGTCTCATCGTCATCTAGTTAATTAGTTTCCCAACCTACGCATTCTCGATCCTTTTAACATTTATCACGCGCATTTGCTTATCGCTGCTCCGAAGTTGATTATCCACGCGCGAATCGTTCGCGTTCTCACGATGGGCACAACATGATTATATTGCTACCTATATCAACTCTCTTCGACCTGCTTCGTCTTTTTGATCTTGTCTATATACAATATATTTTTTTGTAATTGTTTAGCAACAATTTTACAAAGCATGCGAAATTTTAAAGGAATTTTAAAATTCGGAATAAAAATCCCGATGTCGTCAATCGATCTAGCTGAGAATGTAATATTTCTTTATAGAAGTAATACTTATACTATCGATTTTATTCTTCAATTTTCATTTTTCGTTCTTTTTGTTTCTTTCGTAAAAGAAACATTTTCTATTCTTTTATAATCAATATGTTTTCATGAGTATAATTAAGTGGTATAATTAAAAAAAATTCGTAAATGAGAAAGAAAAAAAAATTGATAAAATAAACTATAGAGAAAGGACGAAGGGATGAAGAG